TTATTTCGTTAAATTGTGTTTCTTCATTTCTTGTTGTACGTTCGTATCAACATGTACCAAATTTCATGATCTGACCTTTTTTGTTTTCTCGTTGTATCTTGCAGAAACAGGTGGATTTCTTTTCACACATTTATACCTTTCACTTGTGCATCTACATGCAAAGTGAGGAAACGTATGTAAAAAATATTGAAAACATTATCATATGCATTTTTGAGACACTAATTTGCTTATGAATTTTCGTTTAGGTTGGTCAGCTGCTTGTTGTTAGGATGAACCACGTACTTTGTTCTGACAAGAAGGATAGATCTCCAATTGGGATTTCGCACGGAGCAACATTTTTTTAAAAACATTCATGTATAATCTTCTCGTCAGTTCCCATAATTTCACATATTGTAAACTTGTGAATTGTCTAAGAGTAGCATGAAAATTATGTGTAGCAATTTCGAAGTTAGATTTGGGGCCCATTGATCCTTGAACTGTGATGTAAATGTTTTTTGATGTGTATGGCAAAATATTGCCAATGTTATCCATGTTGTATAAAGTTGGAGTACTGTTTTGTAGTTGGAATGCAAAGACATTAGTGAATAAACATATTTAGCAATCTTCATCGATCACTTTAGTTAGGTAATGGTTTTTTCAAGTCATAGTTCATTGCCATGTTATGTACAATTAGTTGAAGAATCTAAAATCTCATAAGATAATACTACAATTAATATAGAAAGATATTGTGCCAACTGTTGAGAACGACATGAATAATATGTCGGGAACGACAGATGAATTCTCGGGTTATCCTATGTATAGTTACAGTTTGTGGTCTGTACCAACTGTCGAGAACGACAGAGACAATCTGTTGAGAACGGCATATGAACTATCGGGTTTTCATATGTTAGAGTTATATGTTAGAGTTTGTATTATGTCCCAACTGTCGATAACGATTAAAACAATCTATTGGGAACGACAGATGAAGTGTCGAATTATCATGCAGAAATGAAGCTATATTGTAGTAGTGAATGTAAATATGGCTACTACTGTCCACTAACGATAATGGATTTAGAATGA